AGTGCGGCAAGTCCAGACACAAATGGACCGATTGTTGGTCCAAGGAACCTACTGTTGTCCGAGTGGCAGCAGTAAGAGTACAAAAGCGGAAAAGAGGGAATGGCAAGTCCAACTCTCAGAAGAAGGCTAAAGTGGCTGCTGTAGTAGCAGAAGATCCACTTGTTGTACTCCCGGAGGTTACAGAAGATTTTGTTTTTCAGCCTGAGCAAGACTCAGACAATGAAATCATCTGGTAGAAAAAGTGTCTGTTTTTAGTCTATGTTTACTAGTTTTCTTTCATATGGGTTTTCGGTTTCTATGCTTTTCTTGAATAAATTATGATTGTGTTTCCGCCTATTTGATTGCTCCAAGCACTCTGAGGATGGGTTTAAGACCCGAAACAGCTGGTCTGTCAGTGCTCTACCAAAGTTATATTTGCTACCAAGACACTTCCAAACCGCTGTTAAAAAGACTACCACACAATACATCTGCTATATTATCGCTTGGGAATAGAACCAAAGGATCCCTGATCTTAGTAGTGCCCGAAGCTATTAGCTATGTTGAAAAGACAAAGAGAACCAAGTCCGGAAACCGCTGTTAAGCAGAGAAAGTTGGAACAGAGGCTTCCTTCCTTACCAGTACATGGAAAAAGACCTATACTGAAGGCAAGACTGTCATGGACGGTCAAAGGAAAGGATGAAGGCGCCCAAGGGTCTTTCCTGTTTGACACCGGTTGTACAGGAGCTATCCTCAACCAGAGTTTTGTCAGGAAACATGGAATTCCCTTAGTGCGGCGGGATCAACCTCTGACAATGTTTGATGCTCAAGGAGATGTCATGATGGGAGGAGGCGAGTATTACACTCACCCGGTCCGCATGATTATGGGAGATCATAAAGAGACACTCCGATGGGAAGTGGCTACTTTGGAAGAAGGAATGACCGGTTACCTGCCAATTAGTTGGGCTAGGAAGCATAACCCGGACATTAACTGGGAACTCAACACCATGAGCTGGAGGAGTGACTACTGCAAGCAGAATTGTCTCCCAGCGGCCACCAAGATCGAACTGATCTCTCCATACCAGATGCTGGAGGAAGAAGAGACAGTTTATCAATTGGTTGGTTCAGTATGGCATGATGAGGACGGAGGTGATATTGCTGAGAAAATACACCACCTATACCGGGATTGGGCTGATGTGTTCAGTCAAGAGAAGATTGAGGAAATGCCGCCGCATTCCCATAATGATTTGAAGATCAAACTCTTGCCTGGCACCGCTCCCCCATTTGGCCCGCTGTACCCATGTTCCGCTCCAGAGTTGAAGGCCCTCCGAGAGTACCTGGACAAAGAATTGTTTTCAGGAAAGATCTCCAGATCTAACAGCCCTGCTGCAGCGCCCATACTGTTCATTCCTAAGAAGGATGGGACATTGCGGATTTGTGTGGACTACAGAGGATTGAACAAGGTCACTGTCAAGGACAAGTACCCGCTGCCTATCATGAGTGAGCTCAGAGACAGGTTGTTCAAGGCCAAGATCTTCACAAAGATAGACCTGAAGAACGGCTTCAATTTGATCAGGATAGCAGAAGGTGATGAGTGGAAAACCGCTTTCAGAACCCGCTATGGACTGTATCAGTATAATGTGATGCCGTTTGGTCTATGCAATGCCCCCTCCGCCTTCCAGGCAATGATCAATGATGTGCTAAAGGAACTACTGGATGAAGGAGTGGTTGTCTATATCGACGACATCCTCATCTACTCGGAAACTGAGAAGGAGCATGAGATACTGGTCAAAAAGGTCTTACAGAAGCTAAGGGAAGCTAAGCTCTGTGCCTCGATCAGTAAGACATCCTTCCATGTCCGAGAGGTAGAGTACCTAGGCTATCATATCTCAGAACAAGGAGTATCTATGTCAGAAGACAAGGTGGAGGCAGTTAAGGAATGGCCGGTTCCTGAGAATATCAAGGCAGTACAGGCATTCCTCGGATTTGCAAACTTCTATCGCCGCTTTATTGAAGGCTTCAGTAAAGTTTGCAAACCATTAACTGACCTCCTGCAAAAGGACAAGAAATGGTATTGGACGGCAGCACATGAGCAGGCCTTTGAAGAACTCAAGAGGCTGTTCACAAGCGCTCCAATCCTCCTTCATTTTGACCCTAGTAGGAGAACGGTGGTCGAGACGGATGCCAGTGATTTTGCCAAGGGAGCGGTGCTCTCTCAGTATGGGGACGATGGGAAGCTACATCCGGTAGCATTCTATTCTAAGAAGTTCTCCCCTGCTGAGATCAACTATGACATTCATGATAAGGAAATGGGAGCTATTGTAGCCTCCTTCCGGGAATGGGAACACATGCTCAAATCTTGTGAGCAAGAAATCACGGTTTTCACAGACCACAAGAACTTGGAGTATTTTAATTCTACCAAGGTTCTCACTAGGCGGCAAGCTAGATGGTCTGAAGACCTCGCAGGCTACAATTTCAAAGTTGTCTACAGACCGGGAGAAAAGAATGGCAAGACTGATGTGCTATCTAGGCGCTGGGATCACCGCCTTGGAGAGGGAGGTGAAACTCTGCAGCCAGAGCCACAGACCTTTTTTAGGCCAGGTCAATTGGTTTTGGATCCTGCAAAGCTAGCGGCTGTCAGGGTGAATCAGTTGCAGAATACATTCTTAGAGCGCCTATACACGGCTGCTAAAGAGGATAGTTTCTGGCAGGAATTGCACCGCTCCCTGGTTGAAAGGAAACCAAATTTGGACCAGAACTTGTCGGTCAAGAACGGTCTCATCTTCTACAAGAATAGATGGTATATACCCAAAGACAAGAAGCTTCAGATGGAAATACTGTCCGATACCCATGACTCTAAGGTGGCTGGTCACTTTGGCCAATTTAAGACACTTGAGCGGGTAAAAAACAACTTCTTTTGGCCCAACATGGATAAGGATGTTGAGGAATATGTCCGGAGCTGTGACAGCTGCCAGAGGAATAAGACCTCAAGACATAAGAAGTTTGGTATGCTCCAACCATTGGAGATACCCTATCGGCCATGGACTTCCATCTCTATGGACTTCATTGTGGGGTTACCGGAATCTAGTGGGTTTACAAAGATCTGGGTAATAGTGGACCGCTTTTCGAAGATGGCACACTACATCCCTCTTCCTACCCTCAATAAAACGGAAGATTTGGCTAAGTTGTTCTTGAAGGAAGTTTGGAGACTACATGGTTTACCTGATGACATAGTCTCGGACAGAGATAGCAGGTTTATTTCTCACTTTTGGCAATCTCTCATGAGTCTCCTCAATGTGAAGCTAAAGATGTCCACATCCTTCCACCCACAAACGGACGGTCAAACAGAAAGAGTTAACCAGACCCTGGAACATTACTTGCGGAGTTATTGTTCATATCAACAGGATGACTGGGCAGAACTCTTGCCTTTGGCAGAGTATGCATATAACTCGGCGGTCTCTGAGTCTACCAAAGTATCGGCTTTTTATGCCAACTATGGATATGAACCCAGGACCAACTGGCCGGCCCCAAAGGAAGGAGTAGAATGGAACAATCCAGCGAGCGAGGTCATGACATCTCAATGGGAATCTATCTGGCAGGCTATGAACGCCAGCTTGGGTAAAGCTAGATTAAGGATGGCCCGGTGGTATGATGCTCATGCCCTGGCACCGCCCGAAATCAAGCCCGGAGATGAAGTTATGTTGGACCGGCGCAATGTGCAAACAAAGCGGCCTTTGGGAAAACTGGATCAGAAGAAGATGGGACCCTTTAAGGTCTTAGAAGCTATTGGTACCCGTGCCTACAAGCTCTCTCTTCCCCCCCAAATGGGAATCCACCCGGTCTTTCATGTCTCTCTTCTGGAACCTTACAGAGCACCGGCAGATCCTGAGAGAAGAGTTCCTGTACCGGAGCCCGAAGAGATTGAAGGAGAACAGAACTGGGTTGTCCGAGAGGTAGCAGATAGCCGGGTCAATAAGAAAAGAAGACGAGTGGAATACCTAGTGCTGTGGGAAGGTTATGAAAACGAGGATGCTACATGGGAACCTTGGGAGCATCTCAAGAAGAGTGCTGAAGAAGCCCTTCGGGATTTCCATATGAGGTATCCTAAGAAACCCAAGGACAAGCGGATTGTTGGGGTGTAGATTATTCCCTCTTGGGTTTTCATTTCCTTGCATATCATGGAGTTTCTTGTCATATAGAATGAATGGTAATAGAATGGTTATAGATCTCGGAGACCAAGATCCTGGAAGAGGGGAGTGGTGTAACGGAGCCATTTCAACTGTCTGGTGTATGAGTACACACAGGGCCCGGTTACATGCTGAGAGTTATTGTTAGAAGCCAGTTGCACGGTGATATGCAAGTACCGGCAGTGTGGTTAGCTACCAGCTGTTAGAGTAACTACATTCCGGGCGCTAGGAAGGGGATCTATTCATGGGAGCAATGACTGACGAGTCTATGTCTCGCCAGTGTCTAGAAGATCGGCCAGAGTGAAGCTCTGATTGCCCGGTGATCCTCTATATCCTCTGAGCATTGTAAGTCCGCCGAAGGGCAGGGACTATGCTAGGGAAGTCTACAATAAGCGAGAGCTCTACAGCAATGATTAAGCTTACACCTGAGCAGCAGCTCATTCATGCAGGTCCTCGGTTGTGTGGCAACCAAGGCTGCAGGTGTTACAAAGGCTTTGACTAAGGGTGGTTGCCTTGGGTATCGGAAACACCTGCTGACGCTTAGAGAAAAGCGGGGTAGCGGTGGTATTGTTTCCGGTACTGAGGGAAGGCCCACCGGAACTTAGAAAAGGAGTTAGGAGCAGAGAATAGAGGCCTTCGGAGTATAAGTACTCAGGTTCATTCTCGCCCTTCAGTCCTGTTCTCTCCAGTCTTCATCAGAAAGAAAAACCAAGTTCTTATCGGTAGCAGAGCCCTTAAAGATTATTGAGTTCTAGCGATAGTATCTTTGAATAATCTGCAACCTGATTGTCTATCTTGCACGGCCGTCTCTATTCTATACAAATCTATTTCTCTTAGAAAGGACCCCCGTTACACAAGGTTCTTAACCGACGACAGGCAAGGTGGGCTGAGTCTTTGGCAGAATTTGACTTTAAGATTATCTACCGCCTGGGAACCAAAAATGGGAAGGCAGATGCACTATCGCGACGGCCGGAGTACCGTCCTGAAGGGGGAGGCACGCTTGGGAAACAACCGATAGACAGGTTCTTTAAGCCCGGACAGTTGGCGGAGGAAGAGTTTGTGGTATCAGCGGTGTCGCTTGCCTCCAAGGGGGTGATTGACTGGTCTAAGAACTTTCTGGATCATGTCAGGCAGGCGGCATCGGGAGACCCGACATGGGTAGGATTGAAAGAGAGAGTTGAGCAAGGGGAGAAGCTGGGGGAATTGAAGGATATTGCGGAGAAGGACGGGCTACTCTACTATAAGAACCGACTCTATATTCCGGCAGACGATCGTATCAAGATCCGAATCGCACAGGCAGAACACGACTCGAAGGTGGCAGGACACTTTGGACAAGACAAAACTTTGGAACTCATCACGCGTAACTTCTATTGGCCAAAAATGAACGAGTGGATCGATGACTACGTTCGGTCATGTGATGAGTGCCAGCGCAACAAACCCAGCCGCCATAAGAAGTACGGTGCGCTTCTACCACTGTCCACACCCCATTCTGTCTGGCAATCGATATCAATGGACTTTGTCGTGCAATTACCGGAATCAAAAGGATACAACCAAATCTGGGTAGTAGTCGATAGGTTCTCGAAGATGTCGCACTTCATCCCCCTAGTAGCAGAAACGACCGCGCAGGATTTAGCGAAGATATTCCTCGGTCAAATCTGGCGACTCCATGGGCTGCCTTTTGATATAGTTTCCGATAGAGATGCCAAGTTTACTTCAAGCTTTTGGGCATCCCTTATGGAATTGTTGGATGTGAGGATAAGAATGAGTACGGCTTTCCACCCTCAGACCGATGGGCAAACAGAGCGAGTCAACCAAACCCTCGAGCACTATTTACGAGCGTTCTGCAACTACGAGCAAGATGATTGGGCAGAGCTACTCCCGTTGGCGGAGTATGCTTACAACAACTCGGTTACCACCGCCACGGGTCAATCTCCGTTCTATACCAATTATGGTTATAACCCAAGAACCAACTGGCCGACAGAAGCCGAAGTGGTCAACCCAACCAGTGACCTGTACGCTCACTTCATCCGAGGAGTTCACGATTCTGCTCTCGCTCGCTTAACAGACACCAGGGAGAAGATGGGGAAATACTATGATCGGAAAAGGGACGAGTCGCCGGACTTTAAGATAGGCGACATGGTCATGCTCAATGCGGCCAATATTAAAACACGTCGCTCCACCAAGAAACTCGATCACAAGAAACTCGGCCCGTTCAAAATTGTCCGACTAGCCGGGAAACGAGCCTGCGAACTGGAACTGCCACCACAAGTCAAAATCCATAACGTATTCCACATTGAGCTCTTGGAACGTTACCGACAGAGCAGTATCCCAGGCCGCGAACAACGTCCCCCGACTCCCGAGAAGTTCGATAAGGAAGGAGAGGTGCTGTATGAAGTAGAAAGTATCGTGGGAAGTCGGAAGAGCAGAAGAGGATTAGTGGAATACCTGGTGAAATGGCGGGGCTATTCGATGAGCGACTGTACTTACCAAGTCATGGACGTTATGAACGAAGACGTACTTGATCTAGTCCGCGACTTTCATCGAAGGAACCCCAAGGCCGTAAAGGACCAACGCCTGAGACTATAGAGGTACCCCACGGGGCTAAGTCCTTCCCCTCCACAGACACCACGGGTGATATGTGGAGCAGGTTTACTGGAACCATAGTCTATCAGAAGATGTCCCGAGACGTGACACCCTGGAAGGGGGGTAAGCTGTTACGGGCATGCCAAGCATTTACGGGAGTGAGAGAAAAAGGCCAGTAGATACTTCAATACCCTCTGTACGCTAACGTCAATTCTGGACCGCACTCACGGAGTGTGGTGCGACCAATATACGACCAAAACACGGAGTCATAAAAAACACATTTTCGACCCCAATAATAACCTCCGGAGCGTCAAACCGCCGGAGGGGAGTGCTTTTGGACCGGTGGATATATGAGGGACAGCTGGAATCAATCGGATAAATGATCGGACCACCCGGAGCAAATCGGCGCAAGCTACCAGCCGACCGAGTACCTATTGTAACGGGGGTCCTTTCTAAGAGAAATAGAATCGGATAGAATAGAGATGGCCGTGCAAGATAGACAATCAGGTTGCAGATTATTCAAAGATACTATCGCTAGAACTCAATAATCTTTAAGGGCTCTGCTACCGATAAGAACTTGGTTTTTTTTCCTTTCTGATGAAGACTGGAGAGAACAGTACTGAAGGGCGAGAATGAACCTGAGTACTTATACTCCGAAGGCCTCTGTTCTCTGCTCCTAACTCCTTTACTAAGTTCCAGTGGGCCTTCCCTCAGTACCGGAAACAATACCACCGCTACCCCGCTTTTCTCTAAGCGTCAGTAGGTGTTTTCCGATACCCAAGGCAACCACCCTTAGTCAAAGCCTTTGTAACACCTGCAGCCTTGGTTGCCACACAACCGAGGACCTGCATTAATGAGCTGCCGCTCAGGTGTAAGCTTAATCATTGCTGTAGAGCTTTTCGCTTATTGTAGACTTCCCTAGCATAGTCCCTGCCTCTTCGGCGGACATACAGTGCTCAGAGGATACAGAGGATCACCGGGCAATCAGAGCTTCACTCTGGCCGGTCTTCTAGTCACTGGCGAGGCATAGACTCGTCAGTCATTGCTCCCATGAATAGATCCTCTTCCTAGCGCCCGGAATGTAGTTACTCTAACAGCTGGTAGCTAACCACACTGCCGGTACTTGCATATCACGGTGCAACTGGCTTCTAACAATAACTCTCAGCATGTAACCGGGCCTTGTGTGTACTCATATATCAGACAGTTGAAGTGGCTCCGTTACACATATCGGCAGTACCTGTGGGCATGAGAGGACTCTGCTATGTGGGAAAGCGATGTGGGAAGAGGCCTGAGTAGGTAGCCTTGCTGTCTGAGACCTCCGAATAGCCGACACTGACGATTATCCACCAGAAGGCCGATAGAGAAGAAACATCGACAGGGAAACGTGCATTAGAGTGGATAAATAGGTTGAGGGGTTTCAGTGGCTTTAGGAGTTTGGGTTACGGATTTAGGAGTTAAATGTTCTTGGTTGTTTTTCAGGGTCTCGGGCACGCCCCGAGTGTGTTCTGTATTACCAGTAGACTGAGTCCTCGAGACATAAGCGAGGAATATAAATACTGTGTCATTCACTGACTAGCCAAACCATTATCGGCGAAATCAGAGTCTTAACAATATAAATCGTTGATACGCGAGTTACAACTTATTTGACTATACTTTTGGAATTACTTTACTCTATCGTGACTTCGAACTCTACCTGAACTATTACGTCGAAGACGGTCGAACATCTTACACTAAACTCTAGTGGATCTTTGTTGATAACGTAGCTCGCGGGGCCCGTATCGGATCAAGGAGAATCATACTCGACGTTGACTGAAGAGACCTTGGAGACTTCTACCTTTGTAGCTGTTAGCCGAACTCTGAGCTCTGCGTAGTGTACTCTTTTGGTCTGGTACGCATCCCTCACACGGGCCCTGTATGTACTCATACACCAGACAGTTGAAATGGCTCCGTTACACCTTGTGTATCGGAAACACCTGCTGATGTTTAGAGAAAAGTGGAGTAGCAGTGGTATTGTTTCCCAGACCGAGGAAAGGCTTCACCGGAACTTAGTAATGAGTTAGGAGCGGAGAATAGAGGCCTTTGGAGTGTAAGTACTGAGGTTCATTCTCGCCCTTCAGTCCTGTTCTCTCCAGTCTTCATCAGCAAGAAAATCAACTTCCTATTGGTAGCAGAGCCCTTAAAGATTATTGAGTTCTAGCGATAGTATCTTTGAATAATCTGCAACCTGATTGTGTATCTTGTACGGCCGTCTCTATTCTATCCTATTCTATTTTCTTTTAGAAGAGACCCCTGTTACAGGGGGTGGATGTAACGGCAGCTATGTATTTCGACTAGGTGATAAACTGGAACGAGGAAAGGAGGTATTGTGCAGTGGAATTAGGATTTGTAATGGGGATTTCTGTTACGTTCTTTTAGTTTCTGTTACGCGAAGGTATTAGTCATTATTGGACTATGGTTGGATATATAAGGGGGCGTTGTCTTGTGCTTTTATTTGTTTTTCTTCTTTCCTTCTTTCTTTACGCAACCTCTGCATTCTACTTGCTCGCTAAGGCTCGCAAAGAACTCCCTGATAACAAACCTCGCTTTAAAACATTTTATTTTATTCCCCTCGGTTTACCCTGGTATACCATACCAGGCTGAGCCACTTCGTCCCCGATCGTACGGTCGCGTTTTGTTGTTCCAAGCGAAAGAAACACCACGAAAACTGGCTTCTAGCGAAGAATTCTCCAGCCTTGACCTCCCGAAGGGAAGGAAAAGAAATCTATCCGAAACATCACTCTACGCCGCCAGAAGAACTGGACACTCAATCATGTCGCAGCAAGCCTCGCTCCAGTCCTTTTTTACCCAGTCTTCCCAGCCTTCCCAGCAAGGGACAGCCCCCTCGCAGAACAGGAACACTCAGGTTCCCGACCCAACCCCGCCCGGAGCTCAGGAACAAGAATTCTCCTCGACCTTTGCAACAGAATCCGACTACAACGACCCCTACCAACCGAGAGTCGACTACCTCTACCCGAGCATCGTCCCCCAGGACACTCACACCCAGACCGACCTGAATTATATTACCTGGGCCATTAGACATGCCACCAGCCGAATCTGCCCACCCACCGACAGGATTGAAATCCTCGAAGAGCAAACGACCACACTCCGGAGAACAGTGGATACACTGAGGCACCAAATCGAGGCGCAGACAACTATGATTACCAGTATGCACTCGGCGATCCATCTTCTCCTGAACAAACAACCACAACCGCAGCAACCGCAGCAACCGCAGCAACCGCAACAACAACAACAACAGCAACAACAGCGAAAACCGCAACAACCGCAAGGACAGAGAATGCCCCCTCCAGCGATCCCACAAACAGTTCCCCAAGCAGCGCCACAGGCAGCTCCTCACGCACCCCCCCAACAAGCCCCACCTCGTGGATGGAAGGCAGGCACCTGGGCCGCCGTGGCCTCGGCACCCGGTCCTGCCCAAGGTAACTTCCAGGTCATCGAGAGGAAAAAGAAGTCCGCAAAGCCAAAAGCGGATCCCCTCTTCAAACCAGAGTACACCAAGATCAACAGGGAGATCATCGTGGAAACTACTGCCCCGTCCGACGTCAATCCCTCCGAGATCAGGACCCTAGTCAATGCAAGAATCCAGGACGAATCCTGCCACTTTATTTCAGCAAGGAGAACACCCAAGGACAACTTTATCCTGGAAACAAAGTTTGTCACCCCAGCAACAAAGGCAATGGAATATGCCAAAGAAATTGAGGAGGCTCTCCTCACCCTACAAGTACCAGTCGCCATTATCCGGGCAAACTCCAAATGGTCAAAGTTCCTTATTCACGGAATCTCCACAACGGTCGGAGAAGGCGTCGAGGCAGGACAACTGGTAGCATCCGAAATTAGAAGCAATTATGGAGATAACTTCCAACTTGCCCAGGTTCCCCGCTGGATCTCCAGAGCAGAGACTCGAATGGAGAAAACCCACTCATCAATGGTCATCGCGCTCCCAGGACAAGTTACAATGGAAACACTAGGAGTTAAGTTCCTATCCCTTTTTAACCGAAGCTGCTATATCGAGGGCTTCCTCCCAACCTTCTCAGACACCCAATGCGCGAAGTGCCTCGAATACGGCCACCGCCAGGAGAAATGCAAGAACAATGGGAAATGCGGCCACTGCGCCGGAGACCACCTCACCAGTTTCCACCCATGCAATCAATGCCAGGGAGGATATAGATGCACCCATACCCCAATCAGATGTCTAAACTGTAAAGGAATCCATAAGGCCTCCGACCCAGCATGCCCTGAAAGAGTCAAACGCCGATTCCTTAACAAAGGAAAGGAAAACGCCCTACCCGCCCAAGACCCACCTGCCGGACCCGCCCAAGAGCCTATTTCAATAATCCAAGTACCAGCCACCGCCCCGGTCGGAGCCACACCCGTTCCCGAAGATGACCAACCCATGACGAATAATGCCTAGGCTGCGAACAACCGCGCTCGCACACCAACTTAACTGTGCACGGAGCGAACTAATCACCAAGGCGGCGGTGGAAGAAGCAGAAACAGACTCGAGCATTTATTTCCTACTACTACAAGAACCATGGACCTCAACAGAAGGATACCCACCAGAATCAAATCTCTTTTACCTTTTTACAGCCAGTAACACCAACACGAAATGCGCAACATATATCCGCAAACATGCCAACCTTAAACCGAAACACCACTACACACATGATAATTTCATAGTTTCGATTACGGTAGAAATCCAGACCAAGAAAACCCAAATCCTAAACATATACTCCCCAGGCCGAAGTGGCCCCTTCGCTCAAATAGCAAGTACAATCCAAACCCTTGATAACTGTCTAGTAATGGGAGACTTCAACTGCCACCATCAAATGTGGTACGGAGTAAATTCACATGAATACAGAAACAATATTCGAGCAGACCGCGCCAACGGCGCACGGTTAAAACGATAGATAACCCGACAGAAATTGACCCTCCTGAACGAACCAGGCGTTTTTACGCATTTCCCCAGAGACAGAGGGAAAAGGCCCACAACCATTGACCTTGCATTCGTAAAAGGCCCAACACTTGACCACAACCTACGATGGAGCACTGAACCCTACGGAGCGGGCTCAGACCACGGGAGAACCTCCGTTCACCTACACCTGGAAAAACCACCTTTTGTACCAAGACGAATGTGGCGACAAACGGACTGGAAGCTATTGGAGAACCACATGTCAAACATTTCCATCCCTGCAGAGGCATGGGAAACCAAGGAACATACAGAACAAACTGTCGATTTCTTCCTAGAACTGGTCAGGTCAACAGTCAGCATAGTAACACCACTATCGAAGGAGGGGGTAAGAGCCAACTCCTGGTGGTCAGATGAAATGAAACAAATGAAGGCAAGGGTAAATGCAGCAGAAAGGAAGGCGAGAAACACAAGGAAACCCAATCACGTGGAGGAGCACCGGAAGGCTTGCAGAGAATGGACAGTCATGATCCGGAAAGCAAAAGCGGACCAGCGGGAAAAGACGATGAACGAGGCGAAAGGTAGTGAAGTCTGGAGAATCCTAAACGCAGGAAGGAGAAGAGACACAATCATACCAACCATACAAGGTGAAGAAATGTTCGCGGGGAAGTGTCAAGCTTTAAGAGCCCAACTTTTCCCCTCGAAACGGACGTCCCCCGACCATCCCCCCCTAAACATCAGACCCCCTTCTTTTGACCTTAGCAACACCTTCGACATAGTCACCCCCGAAGAACTTAATAAAGCAATCGACTCCTGTCCAGTGCACTCGGCGACCGGCCCGGATGGCATCCCTTATACCTTTATTAAAGCAATAGTCAGAGCAAATACAGCTCTAATCCAAGACATGTTCTCCGCCATGCTCCGGCACGGTGTACACCCAGCGGAATGGAAAATAGCTAAGTGTATCCCGATTCCGAAACCCGGTAAAGCAAACTACCATGAAGCGAAAGCCTACCGGCCCATTTCCCTTCTACAATGTTTCAGCAAAATCCTGGAGAAGATAGTGGCCCAAAGACTCTGCACCGCCGGAGAAATTCTAGGCACACTCTCAGCGAATCAATTTGGAGGAAGACCAACCATCTCGGCAATCGACGCCCTCCTGAGAACCTTGACACCAATACAACAAAACCTACTACTGAAAAACAGTACCGGAGTCGCTCGGCGAGACAGACCAGCGATCCTAACCAACGACATCCAAGGAGCATTTAACTGCGTCGACCACCTACTCCTCGCGGAAATCATGTACCAACAAAAATTCCCTACCTACTTAACAGAATGGTGCAAGGAATTCAATACCGGCAGAAAACTACAGTTTCAATTTAACCATGAGCTAGAGGAACCACAGCCTTATGATTCTGGAGTGCCGCAAGGTAGCCCCATGTCCCCGGTACTATTCATGATCTATGCTGGAGTAATCCTGGACCCAACAAGTAGCCCGAAAGAGATGGACACTACATATATCGACGACGATGCACTGGTGCAAATATCCAAAACACCAGGCTTCACAATCAAGAGAATGGAGGAACGAATGAGAGAGAGACTAATAAAAGCTGAGCCACTCCAAATCAAGTACGACCCGGATAAATCCGACCTGATCTTCTTCCGGCCCACTACATCATCCACACAACAACCACGACTGTCGGTCGAAATTAACAATACCAACATACACCCCAAGGAGAGGTTGAAATATGTAGGAGTCTGGATAGATCCGACCCTCTCCTTCCGGCCCCACATTGAAGCAGCGATCGCAAAAGGCCTTAAAGCCCTCCACCAGATTCGATACACCGCCCGACTGCCAGGAATAACGGTTAAAACAATCCATCACATTATAACACAAGGCTTCCTCCCAAGTCTACTCTACGGATCCGAGGCTTGGTGGACTGGCGCAGACCACATTATAAGATCCCTCGAACCACTATACAATGAAGCGGCCCGGGTCATCACCGGCCTACCACGATGGACCAAAAGAACTAAACTCCTCCGAGAAGCAGGCTTACCCCCCTTAGAACATCTCCTGACATATCGCTCAAGAAAGTACGGAACTAGAATACTCTGCACCGACGCAACCCACCCAAACAACGAATCTCTGATCGAGCTCCTCCCGTACAGAGAAGCAAATATCAAAGGAACAGGCTTACACCGAATCGCCTCCTTATTACTCCCATACCAGACCCCCGGAAATGCGAGAGATAAGTGGAACCAGAACAAACTACTACGCGATCACCTATTAGAAGAATGGAACACACAATCAATACCGAACTACCATCATCGGGGGGAATTCCGCCCCCCTCCCAAGATAGCGAAACTCACCCTTACGGAAGCAAAAAAAGTATTTCGAATCCGGTGCCAAACCACCCGAATCGACAAACACGCAATACACACAGACCCCGAACCATGCCAGTGCGGTATGGAAAACTCAGCGAAACATATACTTATGGAATGCCCAGCGTGGGCTCGAATCCGTACCCCTCTGATAGAAAAGATCCCCGGAGCGATGACCTGGGAAAACTGGATGTTTACAAACCTGAGAACGGACCTCATCCTACAATTTGCGAAACAATCTCAACTCTCGAAATGGTACGAGTCGGCGGAGGCGGAGGCGGACCTGGAAGAGGGGATGGAAGAAAACGACCGGGAACGGGATTAGGAAGGGGAATTTCCTTTTACTCTTTAAAAAATTGTTTTTTATTCTTTGATTTGATGGATCCAGCGCTCGAGTCCGCTGAGATATGTTATTTCTCCCTATTGTTGGGTTTTCTGGTCGAAGTGTTGTTCTGGATTTCCCTTGCTATTGTTTGTGCTCGCTTGTGCTTGTTTTGTTCTTGTTCTTGTTTTTGTTTGTTTGCGTTTGTGATTGTTGTTTTTCTTTCTTTCTTTTGTTCGGTTCGGTTCGTGTTTTAGGCGGTTGGGTCGGTGTGCGATAAGTCTTGTACTTCAAAGCAATATAAATTTCTTCTTCTTCTGTATTCTACTTGCTTGCTAAAGCTCGCAAAACTCCCTGACAATCAATCTCGCTTCAAAAAACACTTTACTTTTACTGCTCTTGGTTTACCCTGGTATACCATACCAGGTTGAGCCACTTCGTCCCTGACCGTACGGTCGCGTTTGTTGTTCCTAGCGAAAGAAACACCACGAAAACTGGCTTCTAGCGAAGAATTCTCCAGCCTTGACCTCCCGAAAGGAAGGAAAAGAAACCTTTCCGAAACATCACTCTACGCCGCCAGAAGAACTGGACATTCAATTATGTCGCAGCAAGCATCGCTCCAGTCCTTTTTTACCCAGTCTTCCCAACAAGGAACAGCCCCCCCGCAAAACAGGAACACTCCGGTTCCCGACCCAACCCCATCCGGAGCTCAGGAACAGGAATTCTCCTCGATCTTTGCAACAGAATCCGACTACAACGACCCATACCAACCAAGAATTGACTACCTCTACCCGAGCGTTGTCCCCCAGGACACTCACACCCAGACGGACCTGAACTATATTACCTGGGCCATCAGACATGCCACCAGCCGGATCTGCCCACCCTCCGACAGGATTGAAATCCTCGAAGAGCAAACGACTACACTCCGGAGAACAGTGGATACACTGAAACACCAAATTGAGGCGCAGACAAACATGATCACCAATATGCATTCGGCGATCCACGCCCTCCTCAGCAAACAACCACAACCGCAGCAACCGCAGCAACCGCAACAACAGCAACAACACCAACAACAGCAACAACAGCGAAAACCACAACAACCGCAGGGACAGAGAATGCCCCCTCCAGCGGTCCCCCAAACAGTTCCCCAAGCAGCGCCACAGGCAGCTCCTCAGGCCCCCCCACCCGCACCTCCCCAACAAGCCCCACCCCGTGGATGGAAGGCAGGCACCTGGGCCGCCGTGGCCTCAGCACCCAGTCCTGCCCAAGGAAACTTCCAGGTCATCGAGAGAAGAAAGAAGCCCGCAAAGCCAAAAGCGGACCCCCTCTTTAAACCAGAGTACACCAAAATCAACAGGGAGATCATTGTTGAAACTACTGCCCCAACCGACGTTAACCCCTCCGAGATCAGGACCCTCGTCAATGCAAGAATCCAAGATGAGTCCTGCCACTTCCTCTAGGCAAGAAGAACACCCAAAGACAACTTCATCTTGGAAACAAAATTGGTTACCCCCGCAACAAAGGCAATGGAATATGCGAAAGAGATTGAGGAGGCCCTCCTCACCCTACAGGTACCGGTCGCTGTCATCCACGCAAACTCTAAATGGTCAAAGTTTCTCCTCCATGGAATCCCCACAACGGTCGGGGAGGGCATTGAGGCGGGACAATTGGTAGCATCAGAAATCAGAAGCAACTACGGAGAGAACTTCCAACTTGCCCAGGTTCCCCGCTGGATCTCCAGGGCAGAAACTCGAATGGAGAAAACTCACTCATCAATGGTCATCGCACTCCCAGGACAAATCACAATGGAAACGCTAGGAGTTAAATTCCTATCTCTGTTCAACCGAAGCTGCCATATCGAGGCCTTCCTCCCAACCTTCCCGGATACCCAGTGTGCGAAGTGCCTCGAATACGGCCATCGCCAGGAGAGATGTAAGAACAATGGAAAATGCGGCCACTGCGCCGGAGATCACCTCACCAGTTTCCACCCATGCAATCAATGCCAGGGAGGATATAGATGTACCCACACCCCAATCAGATGTCTGAACTGCAAAGGAATCCATAAGGCCTCCGACCCAGCATGCCCTGAAAGAGTCAAACGCCGATTCCTCAACAAAGGAAAGGAAAACGCCCCACCTGCCCAAGACCCACCTGCCGCACCCGTTCAGGAGTTACTCCCAATAATTCAAGTACCAGCTACCGCCCCGGTCGGAGACCCACCCGTTCCCGAAGATGACCAACACATGACAAATAATGCCTAGGCCCCGAACCACCGCGCTCGCACACCAACTTAATTGGGCACGGAGCGAACTGATTACCAAGGCGGCGGTAGAAGAAGCGGAAACAGACTCTAGTATTTATTTCCTATTATTACAAGAACCATGGACCTCAGCAGAGGGATACCCACCAGAATCAAATCTTTTTTATATTTTCACAGCCAGCAACACCAACACAAAATGTGCAACATACGTCCGCAAACATGCCAACCTCAAACCAAAACACCACTACACATACGATAATTTCATAGTATCCATTACGGTAGAAATCCAGAACAAGAAAACCCAAATCCTAAATATTTACTCCCCAGGCCGAAGTGGCCCCTTCGCCCAAATAGCAAAAACTATCCAAACCCTTGATAATTGCCTAGTAATGGGAGACTTCAACTGCCACCATCAGATGTGGTATGGAGTAAATTCACATGAATACAGAAACAACATTCGAGCAGACCGCGTCAACGGTGCACGGTTAAAACGATGGATAACCTGACAGAAACTGACCCTCCTGAACGAAACAGGCATCTTTACGCATTTCCCCAGAGACAGAGGGAAAAGACCCACAATCATCGACCTTACATTTGTAAAAGGCCCAACACTTGACCACAACTTACGATGGAGCACTGAACCCTACGGAGCGGGCTCAGACCACGGGAGAACCTCCGTCCACTTACACTTGGAAAAACCACCATTTGTACCAAGACGGATGTGGCGACAAACAGACTGGAAGCTCTTGGAGAACCATATGTCAAACATTTCTCTCCCTGCAGAGGCATGGGAAACCAAGGAACATACGGAACAAACTGTCGACTTCTTCCTGGAACTGGTCAGGGCAACAATCAGTATAGTAACACCACTTTCGAAGGAAGGAGTAAGAGCCAACTCCTGGTGGTCAGAGGAAATGAAACAAATGAAGACAAGGGTAAACGCGGCAGAAAGGAAGGCGAGAAATACAAAGAAACCCAACCACGTGGAGGAGCACCGGAAGGCATGCAGAGAATGGACAGTCATGATCCGGAAAGCAAAAGCGGACCAGCGGGAAAAGACGATGAACGAGGCGAAAGGTAGTGAAGTCTGGAGAATCCTAAACGCAGGAAGGAGAAGAGACACAATCATACCAACCATACAAGGTGAAGAAACGTTCGCGGGGAAGTGTCAAGCTCTAAGAACCCAACTTTTCCCCTCAAAACGGACGTCCCCCGACCATTCCCCCCTAAACATTAGGCCCCCCTCTTTTGACCTTAGCAACACCTTCGACATAGTCACCCCCGAAGAACTTAATAAAGCAATCGATTCCTGTCCAGCGCACTCGGCGACCGGCCCGGACGGCATCCCCTATACCTTTATTAAAGCAATAGTGAGAGCAAACACAACTCTAATTCAAGACATGTTCTCTGCCATGCTCCGGCACGGGGTATACCCAGCGGAATGGAAAATAGCTAAGTGCATCCCGATCCCGAAACCCGGCAAAGCAAACTATCATGAAGCAAAAGCCTACCGGCCCATTTCCCTTCTACAATGCTTCAGCAAAATTCTGGAGAAGATAGTGGCTCAGAGACTCTGCACCGCTGGAGAAATCCTAGGCACACTCTCAGTGAATCAATTTGGAGGAAGACCAACCATTTCGGCAATCGACGCCCTCCTGAGAACCTTAACACCAATACAACAAAAGCTATTACTGAAAAACAGTACCGGAATCGCTCGGCGGGACAGACCAGCGATCCTAACCAACGATATCCAAGGAGCATTTAACTGCGTCGACAACCTACTCCTCGCGGAAATCATGTACCAACAAAAATTCCCTACCTACTTAACAGAATGGTGCAAGGAATTCAATACCGGCAGAAAACTACAGTTTCAATTTAACCATGAGCTAGAGGAACCACAGCCCTATGATTCTGGAGTGCCGCAAGGTAGCCCCATGTCCCCGGTACTATTCATGATCTATGCTGGAGTAATCCTGGACCCAACAAGTAGCCCGAAAGAGATGGACACCACATACATCGATGACGATGCGCTGGTGCAAATATCCAAAACACCAGGCTTTACAATCAAGAGAATGGAGGAGCGAATGAGGGAAAGACTAATTAAAGCTGAGCCACTCCAAATTAAATACGACCCGGATAAATCCGATCTGATCTTCTTCCGGCCCACCACGTCATCCACACAACAACCACGACTCCCAGTCAAAGTTAGCAACATCAATATATACCCCAAGGAGAAGCTGAAATACGTAGGAGTCTGGTTAGATCCGACCCTCTCCTTCCGGCCCCATATCGAAGCCGCAATCGCAAAAGGCCTAAAAGCCCTCCACCAAATCCGAAACACCGCCCGCCTGCCAAGGATAACAGTCAAGACAGTTCATCACCTAATAACACAAGGCTTCCTTCCAAGCCTGCTCTACGGATCCGAGGCTTGGTGGACTGGCGCAGACCACATCATTAGATCCCTCGAACCACTATACAACGAAGCTGCCCGGATCATCACGGGCCTACCTCGATGGACCAAGAGAGCTAAACTCCTCCGAGAAGCAGGACTACCCCCCCTAGAACACCTCCTAACATATCGCTCAAGAAAGTACGGAACCAGAATACTCTGTACCGAGGCAACCCACCCCAACAATGAATCCCTGATCGAGCTCCTCCCATACAGAGAAGCAAACATCAAAGGGACAGGCCTACACCGAATCGCCTCCCTCCTACTCCCATATCAAACCCCCGGAAATGCGAGAGACAATGTAACGGGGGTCTCTTCTAAGAGAAATAGAATAGAGTAGAATAGAGACGGCCGTGCAAGATAGACAATCAGGTTGCAGATTATTCAAAGATACTATCGCTAGAACTCAATAATCTTTAAGGGCTCTGCTACCGATAAGAACTTGGTTTTTCTTCTGATGAAGACTGGAGAGAATAGGACTGAAGGGCGAGAATGAACCTGAGTACTTGTACTCCGAAGGCCTCTATTCTCTGCTCCTAACTCCTTACTAAGTTCCGGTGGGCCTTTCCTCAGTACCGGAAAACAATACCACCACTACCCCGCTTTTCTCTAAGCGTCAGCAGGTGTTTCCGATACCCAAGGCAACCACCCTTAGTCAAAGCCTTTGTAACACCTGCAGCCTTGGTTGCCACACAACCGAGGACCTGCATGAATGAGCTACCGCTCAGGTGTAAGCTTAATCGTTGCTGTAGAGCTTTCGCTTATTGTAGACTTCCCTAGCAAAGTCCCTGCCCTTCGGCGGACTCAGTGCTTAGAGGATACAGAGGATCACCGGACAATCAGAGCTTCACTCTGGTTGGTCTTCTAGACACTGGCGAGGCATAGACTCGTCAGTCATTGCTCCCATGAATAGATCCCCTTCCTAGCGCCCGGAATGTAGTTACTCTAACAGCTGGTAGCTAACCACACTGCCGATACTTGCATATCACGGTGCAACTGGCTTCTAACAATAACTCTCAGCATGTAACCGGGCCTTGTGTGTACTCATACACCAGACAGTTGAAATGGCTCCGTTACACCACTCCCCTCTTCCAGGATCTTGGTCTCCGAGATCTATAACCATTCTATTACCATTCATTCTATATGACAAGAAACTCCGTGAGGTGCAAGGAAATGAAAACCCAAAAGGAAATAGTCTACACCCCAACAATCCGCTTGTCTTTGGGTTTTTTAGGATACCTCATATGGAAATCCCGAAGGGCTTCTTCAGCACTCTTCTTGAGATGCTCCCAAGGTTCCCATGTAGCATCCTCGTTTTCATAATCTTCCCACAGCACTAGGTATTCCACTCGTCTCCTTTTCTTATTGACCCGGCTATCAGCTACCTCTCGGACAACCCAGTTCTGTTCTCCTTCAATCTCTTCGGGCTCCGGTACAGGAACTCTTCTCTCAGGATGTACCGGTGCTCGATACGGTACCAGAAGAGAGACATGAAAGACGGGGTGGATTCCCATTTGGGGGGGAAGAGAGAGCTTGTAGGCACGGGTACCAATAGCTTCTAAGACCTTAAAAGGTCCCATCTTCTTCTGATCCAATTTTCCCAAAGGCCGCTTTGTTTGCACATTGCGCCGGTCCAACATAACTTCATCTCCGGGCTTGATTTCAGGCGGTGCCAGGGCATGAGCATCATACCACCGGGCCATTCTTAATCTAGCTTTACCCAAGCTGGCATTCATAGCCTGCCAGATAGATTCCCATTGAGATATCATGACCTCGCTCACTGGATTATTCCATTCTACTCCTTCCTTTGGGGCCGGCCAGTTGGTCCTGGGTTCATATCCATAGTTGGCATAAAAAGCCGATACTTTGGTAGACTCAGAGACCGCCGAGTTATAAGCATACTCTGCCAAAGGCAAGAGTTCTGCCCAGTCATCCTGTTGATATGAACAATAACTCCGCAAGTAATGTTCCAGGGTCTGATTAACTCTTTCTGTTTGACCGTCCGTTTGGGGGTGGAAAGATGTGGACATCTTCAGCTTCACATTGAGGAGACTCATGAGAGATTCTCAAAAGTGAGAGATGAACCTGCTATCTCTGTCCGAGACTATGTCATCAGGTAAACCATGGAGTCTCCAAACTTCCTTCAAGAACAACTTAGCCAAATCTTCTGTTTTATTGAGGGTAGGAAGAGGGATGTAGTTGTGAGGGATGCGTACCAGACCACAAGAGTACACTACGCAGAGCTCAGAGTTCGGCTAACAGCTACAAAGGTAGAAGTCTCCAAGGTCTCTTCAGTCAACATCGAGTATGATTCTCCTTGATCCGATACGGGCCCCGCGAGCTACGTTATCAACAAAGATTCACTAGAGTTAGCGTTTGATGTTCGACCGTCTTCGACGTAATAGTTCAGGTAGAGTTCGAAGTCACGATAGAGTAAAGTAATTCCAAAAGTATAGTCAAATAAAGTTGTAACTCGCGTATCAACGATTTATATTGTTAAGACTCTGATTTCGCCGATAATGGTTTGGCTAGTCAGTGAATGACACAGTATTTATATCCCTCGCTTATGTCTCGAGGACCCCGTCTTCTAATAATACAGCATACACTCGGGGCCTACCCGAGACCCTGAAAAACAACCAAGAACATTTAACTCCTAAGTCCGTAACCCAAACTCCTAAACCCGCTGAAACCTCTCAACCTATTTATCCACTCTAATGCACGTTTCCCTGTCAATGTTTCTTCCCCATCGGCCATCTGGTGGATAATCGTCAGCGTCGGCTATTCGGAGGTCTCGGACGGCAAGGCTACCTACTCAGGCCTCTTCCCACATCGCTTTCCCACATAGCAGAGTCCTTTCATGCCCACAGGTACCGCCGATAGGTACTCGGTCGGCTGGCAGCTTGCGCCGATTCGCTCCGAGCGGTCCGATCTTCGATCCGATTGATTCCAGCTGTCCCTCATATATCCACCGGTACCAAAACACTCCCCTCCGGCGGTTTGACGATCCGGGGGTTATTATTGGGGTTGAAAACGTGTTTTTTAACTAGGAAAACCGCAACTCCGCATTTGGTCGCATATTGATCGCACCGTACCTCGTAGGTGCGAACCGGAGTTGATAGTGGTGTTGCCATTAGTATTAAAGGGTATAGGAGTATCTACTAGCCTTTCTCTCACTCCGTAAATGCTTGGCATGCCCGTAACAGTAGTGTGCCATCTTCGAAAAACGGTCTACTATTACCCAGATCTTTGTAAACCCACTAGATTCCGGTAATCCCACAATGAAGTCCATAGAGATGGAAGTCCATGGCCGATAGGGTATCTCCAACAGTTGGAGTATACCAAACTTCTTATGTCTGGAGGTCTTATTCCTCTGGCAGCTATCACATCTCCGGACATATTCCTCAACATCCTTATCCATGTTGGGCCAAAAGAAGTTGTTTTTCACCCGCTCCAGTGTCTTAAATTGGCCAAAATGACCAGCCACCTTAGAGTCATGGGTATCGGACAGTATTTCCATCTGAAGCTTCTTGTCTTTGGGTATATACCACCTATTCTTGTAGAAGATGAGACTGTTCTTGACCGACAAGTTCTGGTCCAAACTTGGTTTCCTTTCAACCAGGGAGCGGTGCATCCCTGCCAGAAACTATCTTCTTTAGCAGCCATATATACGCACTCTAAGAATGTATTCTGCAATTGATTCACCCTGACAGCCGCTAGCTTTGCAGGATCCAAAACCAATTGACCTGGCCTAAAAAAGATCTGTGGCTCCGGCTGCAGAGTTTCACCTCCCTCTCTAAGGCGGTGATCCCAGCGCCTAGATAGCACATCAGTCTTGCCATTCTTTTCTCCCGGTCTATAGACAACTTTAAAATTGTAGCCTGCGAGGTCTTCAGACCATCTAGCTTGCCGCCTAGTGAGAACCTTGGTAGAATTAAAGTACTCCAAGTTCTTGTGGTCTGTAAAAACCGTGATCTCTTGCTCACAAGATTTGAGCATGTGTTCCCATTCCCGGAAAGAGGCTACAATAGCTCCCATTTCCTTATCATGAATGTCATAGTTGATCTCAGCAGGGGAGAACTTCTTAGAATAGAATGCCACCGGATGTAGCTTCCCATCATCCCCATACTGAGAGAGCACCGCTCCCTTGGCAAAATCACTGGCATCTGTCTCGACCACCGTTCTCCTACTAGGGTCAAAATGAAGGAGGATTGGAGCGCTTGTGAACAGCCTCTTGAGTTCTTCAAAGGCCTGCTCATGTGCTGCCGTCCAATACCATTTCTTGTCTTTTTGCAAGAGGTCAGTTAATGGTTTGCAAACTTTACTGAAGCCTTCAATGAAGCGGCGATAGAAGTTTGCAAATCCGAGGAATGCCTGTACTGCCTTGATATTCTCAGGGACCGGCCATTCCTTAACTGCCTCCACCTTGTCTTCTGACATAGATACTCCTTCTTCCGAGATGTGATAGCCTAGGTACTCTACTTCTCGGACATGGAAGGATGTCTTGCTGATCGAGGCACAGAGCTTTGCTTCCCTAAGCTTCTGTAATACCTTCTTGACCAGTAGCTCATGCTCTTTTTCAGCCTCCGAGTAGATGAGGATGTCGTCGATATAGACAACCACTCCTTCATCCAGTAGTTCCTTTAGCACATCATTGATCATTGCCTGGAAGGCGGAGGGAGCATTGCATAGACCAAACGGCATCACATTATACTGATACAGTCCATAGCGGGTTCTAAAAGCGGTTTTCCACTCATCACCTTCGGCTATCCTGATCAAATTGAAGCCGTTCTTCAGGTCTATCTTAGTGAAGATCTTGGCCTTGAACAACCTGTCTCTGAGCTCACTCATGATAGGCAGCGGGTACTTGTCCTTGACAGTGACCTTGTTCAGCCCTCTGTAATCCACACAAATCCGCAATGTACCATCCTTCTTAGGAATGAATAATATGGGGGCCGCAGCAGGGCTGTTAGATCTAGAGATCTTTCCTGAAGACAATTCTTTGTCCAGGTACTCTCGGAGGGCCTTCAACTCTGGAGCGGAACATGGGTATAGCGGGCCAAATGGGGGAGCGGTACCAGGCAAGAGTTTGATCTTCAAATCATTATGGGAATGCGGCGGCATTTCCTCAATCTTCTCTTGACTGAACACATCAGCCCAATCCCGGTATAGGTGGTGTATTTTCTCCGCAATATCACCTCCGTCCTCATCATGCCATACTGAACCAACCAATTGATAGACTGTCTCTTCTTCTTCCAGCATTCGGTATGGAGAGATCAGTTCAATCTTGGTGGCCGCTGGGAGACAATTCTGCTTGCAGTAGTCACTCCTCCAGCTCATGGTGTTGAGTTCCCAATTGATGTCCGGGTTATGCTTCCTAGCCCAACTAATTGGCAGGTAACCGGTCATTCCTTCTTCCAGTGTAGCCACCTCCCATCGGAGTGTCTCTTTATGATCTCCCATAGTCATGCGGACTGTGTGAGTGTAATACTCGCCTCCTCCCATCATGACATCTCCTTGAGCATCAAACATTGTCAGAGGTTGATCCCGCCGCACTAAGGGGATTCCATGTTTCCTGACAAAATTCTGGTTGAGGATAGCTCCTGTACAACCGGTGTCAAACAGGAAAGACCCTTGGGCGCCTTCATCCTTTCCTTTGACCGTCCATGACAGTCCTGCCTTCAGTATAGGTCTTTTTCCATGTACTGGTAAGGAGGGAAGCCTCTGTTCCAATCTTCTTTGCTTAACAGCGGGTTCTAAACTTGTTTCTCTTTTTCTTTTCAACATAGCTAATAGCTTCGGGCACTACTAAGATCAAAAGATCCTTTGGTTCTATTCCCAAGTGGTAGTATAGCAAATGTATTGTGTAATAGTCTTTTTTGGCAGCGGTTTGGAAGTATCTTGGTAGTAAATGTAACTGTGAGGGATGCGTACCAGACCACAAGAGTACACTACGCAGAGCTCAGAGTTCGGCTAACAGCTACAAAGGTAGAAGTCTCCAAGGTCTCTTCAGTCAACGTCGAGTATGATTCTCCTTGATCCGATACGGGCCCCGCGAGCTACGTTATCAACAAAGATTCACTAGAGTTTAGTGTAAGATGTTCGACCGTCTTCGACGTAATAGTTCAGGTAGAGTTCGAAGTCACGATAGAGTCAAGTATTTCAGGAAGTATATAATCAAATAAAGTTGTAACTCGCGTATCAACGATTTATATTGTTAAGACTCTGATTTCGCCGATGATGGTTTGGCTAGTCAGTGAATGACACAGTATTTATATCCCTTGCGTATGTCTCGAGGACCCAATCTACTAATAATACAGAATACACTCAGGGCATGCCCGAGACCCTGAAAAACAACCAAGAACATTTAACTCCTAAGTCCGTAATCCAAACTCCTAAACCCGCAGATACCCCTCAACCTATTTATCCATTCTAATGCACGTTTCCCTGTCGATGTTTCCTCTCCATCGGCCGTCTGGTGGATAATCGTCAGCAACGGCTATTCGGAGGTCTCGGACGGCAAAGCTACCTACTCAGGCCTCTTCCCACATCGCTTTCCCACATAGCAGAGTCCTCTCATGCCCACAGGTACCGCCGATAGGTACTCGGTCGGCTGGCAGCTTGCGCCGATTCGCTCCGAGCGGTCCGATCTTCGATCCGATTGATTCCAGCTGTCCCTCATATATCCACCGGTACCAAAACACTCCCCTCCGGCGGTTTGACGCTCCGGGGGTTATTATTGGGGTCGAAAACGTGTTTTTTAACTAGGAAAACCGCAACTCCGCATTTGGTCGCATATTGATCGCACCGCACCTCGTGGGTGCGAACCGGAGTTGATAGTGGTGTTGCCATTAGTATCAGAGGGTATTTGGGGGTATCTACTAGCCTTTCTCTCACTCCCATAAATGCTTGGCATGCCCGTAACAGTACTTACACTTCGAAGGCCTCTATTCTCTGCTCCTAACTCCTTACTAAGTTCCGGTGGGCCTTTCCTCAGTACCGGAAAACAATACCACCGCTAGCCCGCTTTTCTCTAAGCGTCAGCAGGTGTTTCCGATACCCAAGGCAACCACCCTTAGTCAAAGCCTTTGTAACACCTGCAGCCTTGGTTGCCACACAACCGAGGACCTGCATGAATGAGCTACCGCTCAGGTGTAAGCTTAATCGTTGCTGTAGAGCTTTCGCTTATTGGGGACTTCCCTAGCAAAGTCCCTGCCCTTCGGCGGACTCAGTGCTTAGAGGATACAGAGGATCACCGGACAATCAGAGCTTCACTCTGGTTGGTCTTCTAGACACTGGCGAGGCATAGACTCGTCAGTCATTGCTCCCATGAATAGATCCCCTTCCTAGCGCCCGGAATGTAGTTACTCTAACAGCTGGTAGCTAACCACACTGCCGATACTTGCATATCACCATGCAACTGGCTTCTAACAATAACTCTCAGCATGTAACCGGGCCCTGTGTGTACTCATACACCAGACAGTTGAAATGGCTCCGTTACAGACAAGTGGAATCAAAACAAACTACTACGCGACCACCTGTTGGAAGAATGGAATACACAACCAATACCGGACTATCATCACCGGGGGGAATTCCGCCCCCCTCCCAAGATCGCGAAACTCACCCTTACAGAAGCGAAAAAAGTTTTTCGAATCCGGTGCCAAACTACCCGAATCGATAAACACGCAGTACATACAGACCCCGAACCATGCCAGTGTGGCATGGAAAACTCAGCGAAACACACACTTATGGAATGCCCAGCGTGGGCTCGAATCCGCGCCCCACTGATAGAGAAGATCCCCGGAGCGATGACCTGGGAAAACTGGATGTTTACAAACTTGAAAACGGACCTTATCTTACAATTTGCAAAAAATTCTCAACTCTCGAAGTGGTACGAGTCGGCAGAGGCGGAGGCGGACCTAGAAGAGGGGATGGAAGAAAATGATTAGGGTCGGGATTAGGAAGGGCGGTTTCCTCTTACCTTTTAACTTTGGTTTTACTTTGTTTTGATGAATCCAGCGCCCGAGTTCGCTGAGGTATGTTATTTCTCCTTGTCGTTGGATTTTCTGGTTAAGTGTCGTTCCGGAATTTCCTTACTCTTGTTTGTGTTCGTTCGTGTTCGTTCTTGTTCTTGTTTGTTTGTTTGCGTTTGTTGTTTTTTTTCTTTTCTTTCTTTCTTTTGTTCGGTTTTGTGTTTTAGGCGGTTGGGTCGGCGTGCGATAAGTCTTGTACTTCAAAGCAATATAAGTTTCTTCTTCTTCTTCTGTATTCTACTCGCTCGCCTCTGGCTCGCAAAGAACTCCCTGACAATTAACCTCGCTTCGAAAACACTTTATTTTACTCCCTTCAGTTTACCCTGGTATACCATACCAGGCTGAGCAACCTTGTCCCCGATCGTACGGGCGCGTTTGTTGTTCCTAGCGAAAGAAACACCACGAAAACTGGCTTCTAGCGAAGAATTCTCCAGCCTTGACCTCCCAAAGGGAAGGAAAAGAAACCTATCTGAAACATCACTTTACGCCGCCAGAAGAACTGGACACTCAGTTGTGTCACAGCAAGCTTCGCTCCAGTCCTTTTTCACTCAGTCTTCCCAGCAAGGGACAGCCCCCTCGCAGAACAGGAACACTCAGGTTCCCGACCCAACCC